GAGAAACTAGAGGCTTTTTCAAGCAGTTGTCAATATCTCACTTTTTGCCTTGTTTTGTTGTTAGCTATCTTGGTTTGAACCCTACCTTGGCCAGAAGTTTCAACTCTGCCTGGTTATTATTGAATTGATATAGAATTCTGGGAAAATACTCTCTCTTCCATAGCTTAGCTATTTACATAAGGAAATAACTCTTCAGATGATATTCTCTACGTTTGTGTGAAAAATTAAGAGAAATGTATGTACTGAACAAGAATATTACTAACATATTTGCTACCTTTCCTTTTATTTCTCAGGTCAGATGTTATTCTTAACATAGAGAATTTTATATATTTACTTGTATATTCATTAGAAATAGGTTCTAAATTATCTTATTTCCATCTTTTACTCTCTCTTACTTTGCCCAATAAAGCTAAATGTCATTAAACATATCAATTTGAGTATAGCATTTATCCATCCACTTATCAATAACCTAATTTAACCATTAAGTTTCAGCCAGTCACCCGTGCGACCTTTCCCGATTTGTGTAGGCAGAGCTAGTTTCCCTTCTGCTTTAAAAACAAACATCTCTGAATTTTTTTTTGGAGCACTTATTATTACGTTTGTTAAAATTGTATATATGTTTATCTTTCCTCACTGGACTGTAAGATTTTAAAAGGTGAAAAAAATCTCTTGTCCAAATCGCTAACACATAGCACAATCTGAAAGATATATGGAGGACTGGTAAGTTCTCTCCCCAAGAAACTAAGAGAATGGAGGAGGTGAATTTAGATCTATGTTTACACTCCCATGAAAGCATTTGTCAATAATTAGTGTATAAACACCACGTGATTGTGGCACACAGTGTCTTCATAGCTGATTACATTTTAAAATAGCATAATGTGTTCAAGGATGCAGTAATTTTATCACTTGTTTTAGATGAGCTGTGTGTGGATCATTCTATGATTAATTTAACTTGGGAAACATAGTTAAGAAAAATAAGTTTTTAAACTGACATTTTCAAGAATGTTATCATATGTGTATATACACTGTAAGTTTCCAAGGGATATTTGGAGGATAAATATTTATTTTGGGGGGCATTTGGTGAGGTTAATGCTTCAAGAAACACACTTTGGGAGAGTGCTTTTGTGGATCCTATCCCATAAGCCAACATTAGATTACAAAAGATAATAGAGATTTGATGACTGACTTATTGGAAAACTATCCCACCAATCACAAGAACCAAAGGTGTCAGGATCGAGAATGATGTTGCCCAGATACACTGGGGGAATAACTGACTAATTTTACCATAGCAGCCATATTGCTTTATTGTAGGAAAAATGCTGAGTCACTGTGAGGATTCCTCTTCAATGCAAAGAGAACAGCTGCTTAAGAATGTATTTGCTTCACAAGTCTAGTAGTTAAAGGTAAATTATAGTGTCTTTTTTTCCCTAGAAAGTTATAATGACATAATTTGAAGTGAATAAAATAAAAGTTCTAATCTGAGAGTTAAGGATATACATCAGAGACTTAAAAAAAAAATACATAGCAGAAGAAAGACAGTAAATTACACCGCTGGGACTCCTAAGCTTCAGAGCCCCCAATGTTTGCCTTTGGTCTTTCTTCAGACTCTGATTTCCTACCTTCTTTATGCCCCACCGCCTTGGTTTCCCATTACTGCCTTTCCTCAGTCATGATCTCCAATTGTCAGCAATAAGGATGGGAAACACTGCCTATAAAGTTAATTTACCAAATTATATTGAGGACAGCTTAGTCCTCTTGCTATACCTCCCATAGTTTTAACTGGGATCACTGACTTTAATACCAAAGAATGAATATTTAATGTTTGAAGAACCTCTAACACCTGAAAATGGCCAAGGGAGACAGCACTTTCCTTGCTCAAGTCATGCCAAGAGGCTCATAAAGCTGGCCTTGATTCATAGCCAGCTCGTGGGTCATGGCAGAATTTCTCTCATTGACACTAAGGGTCTCAGCTATAAACAATATAAACTTGGGGTGGAAAAATGTAACCTTTGTTCAAAGAGAATTTTTATAATTTCCTGATAATTTACCTGTGTGGACAAAGGCTGCTATTGTGGCCCAATGAAAGGCTCATTGTGCAATCTTGTTGGATGACTTCTGTCACATACTGCAGGAAAGTTTATTTTCATCACCACCTGCTACCTTTTCTTCCTCCAGGGTTTTGTTTCTAGAGTGTTCATTATGCAATTTATGGGAACTGATGATCAGGACAAATTGTTTCTCAATCAAGTTCACAAACCCTTTGCTATGTGCATTTACTTTATATGGAAAAGAAAATATACTTGATAAACTAAAAGCTTCTGAACTTGTTTTTCCCATAGCCAATGCAAATGTTAAATCCTGTGTGTGTGTGCGTGTGTGTGTGTGTGTGTGTATGTGTGTGTGTGTGTTGCTTGCATTGTCTTGGGACAAATCATTTTATTCACAACTAGACATTTTATGGGCCCCACGATTTCTATAGCAGAGTATAGGTGCTAATGTAACCGAGTAAGAGAAAACTGTTACCATTTAAATATTGATTTTAAGTAGTTTTTTTTTTCCTTTCATAAGAAGGAATCTTTTGCCAACATTTATTGATATAGGTCAGAGGTATAGGAAATCTCCTTTTTCTGAAAATTAAAAATGTAAAAGTTTTATCTATATATTCCATTTATCAAACATTCACTGAGTACCTTCTACTCTGCTAAACACTGAGAAATACATTACATTATTGTGATTCTCCAGTAGTATACAGTCTCTTCAAGAAGGATGTAGAAATATAAATGAATTATTTGTTAGAAGGTGAAGCATAATAAGCTTCATAAATAAGTGGAAATAAAATGCAGTGGGAGAGGGTCAAAGTGGTGAGTGATTCATTCTGTTTGGAGAGATAGGGGAAAGTTTCTCATGAAAGTCATAATATTAGATTTGAATTTTGAAAGATAAATTAGATTACTGCAGAGGAATGGACATTCCATGAAGACAGTACACCATAAACAAGGCACAGCTGTGTGAGAGTGAAGGCTGGTTGTGGGGAACAGCAATGGCCAGGTGTGACAGTATGGGGTGTAAGGGAGGTTAGGCTGGTGGTAGGGGGATTTGAAAAAAAGCTTGAGATTATTATGTAGAAAGCCTTGAATGCCATGCAGAGGAAGATGGATTTTATATTGCATACAATAAGAAGCCTTCCAAGGCATTGAAGCAAGTCAGAAATATAAAGCAAGTCAACATATGTTTTGAAAGATAATTCTAATGGCAGTGTGGCAGTTACCGTTACTAGCATGTGTTTGACTTTTTCTCCTGAAATAAAGTGAAAACAGGTAAACTTAACTAGTCTTTGGTACTGCCATCACAGAGTCCTGAATTCAGAATTTGTTTTAGTAGATATGCAGCTAAAACAAAGGCTTAGAAGTTGGATAAGTCTGGTTTGTATTTCTTTTCTGTCATGTACCAGATCTATGATTGTGTACAGGACTTTCATGATATTCAGTTTCCCATATTGGAAATGTGATTATTGTACAGAGATTTGATGATATAATAATTCAAAAAGCACTTTGTAAGCTATGAACATAAAATAAGTGCTGTTTTTTAGGATCTTACTCATTATCAGTATTTTGAAGTTGGAGACAGTACTTGATTGCTTTTGATGTCATTTACTAACATATCAAGCTTAATATCCTACTGTAAATAAATTATAGACTCAATTCAGTAATTGAAATTCAATTAATCAAATACTTTTTTGAATTAAATTAAATCAACCTCTGGCTCCCATTGATACAATTAGTGCAACTAAGCTGCTGCATAGATTTTTATTCAAGGTATTTCCAAGGCTCTTTGATTTTGGTTCCTTTTATTCCCCACACTTTCTCTAGAATAGTTAATCATCAAGAAGTATATATTAAAATTCGTTAAAATGTAATTTGAATTTCTACTAGTAATGCACATTTAGAAAATAGGAAACCAAGATCTTTTTTATGTTTACAAAAGAGGACCACTAAAGAAATTGATGATGGAATACTGTATGGTACTTCAATTACATTTATTTTTTTTCTTTTATTAACAGGAATATTGATTCTTCAAGAAAGTGGATCATATTCAATTTTAGTGACCTGAAATAAATGACAAGCATATAGTTATTAATCCTAATAGGTCATTTGCTTGTGAACTTCTAAGCTTTTTTCTTTTTAATTACAAATATTGCCTCAAAAGTACATCTAGTTCAAGGACTGGGAAACTTTCTGCTCAAGAAAACCAAGAAAATGCAAGAAAGAAGGTAGAGACCTTTGGTGGTAGTAGTATTAGCTATAAGTATTTTTGTTTCTTAGAATAGTCCTCTGGGTCCTAATATAATCTTTAATATAGTCTGCTGTCCCTCAATTCATTTGGTAATTGACACACTATCAACTTTGTTTTCAATATGGTGAAATGATAGGGGCCTCTACTATAAGTGAAACATTCAGCCTTTAGGATTTTAAAAATAATGTTACCATCAGAGGCTAGGTTTAAGGTTTTAATATTAATTAGAAAAATATATGATTTTCTAAGGAATAGGCTGAAATCTATTTTGGATCCCAGATCCACAGGTTCATCTATTATGATCTCCGCTGTGGTTGAAGTTTTGCCTTCTTTAACTTTCTGATTCAGCCCCCAAATATACAGATGTTGATGATAGTAGAAAATGTTAAAAAATGTTTCATAAAATCTTTTAATAAAAAAGGATATGTTTCTATTACATCATAGAAAATGAAGGATTTAAACTGCTACGTTGGTTGGCTCATGGAAAGACACATGTTTGTACCTCTGCATAGACCCTAACAATCTCTATCAGAGAAAAAGATTGAAACAAATTGTAACTTAGTGGGGCTAAGTGAAAACATTGTAACACTTTTTCATGGGATGATGCATTCCAATCCAGGGACAACAGACAAAAAACACATGCTTTGTACTCTGTATACTTACCACCTCTTATCTTGAATTGTATTGGGACTTTTCTTTCTAGTTTACTATCCACTAATAGGAGTAGGTTCAGGGACAGGCTCAGGCACTGGAATGCGAAAATAATATCTAAACCATGGATATCCTTGATACAGGAATGGTAGATATGGGCCAAATAGATATCGATAAGGAGGCACATAAAACTGTGAAAGTGATTCATCGCTCCAACTGACCTATGGAAAGAAAGAAATTAAAAAGAAGAGATATAAAAGAAGAGATATAAAATATTCTTTTAACAATTTGTAGAGGCTTTAGAAACTCTAAAATCATTTATCTTTTCTATGTTTATTATGAACAGGGATTTGATTAATTTGCATCGTTTTAGAAAGTTTTAAGAAATTATTTAGAGATAACTGTGTTCTTGTGCTTTTCTACTCATAGCCAAATGTCCTTGATATTATTTCTATTATTATAAAACCAAAGGGGTATTGATAAGAGGACATCAAATTTGTCCCTTTGTCTTTACACATGGTCTTTATCTAAACCATGTCTCCTCTTTATCTCTTCTTT